GTTTTTTATATTCATTAAACCAGTTGCTTCGAGTAATAAAAAGGTAGTTTGCATAAAAATAAATCCGAAATTAAAATAATATATTCTAGAAAATCCATTGTCCAAGGCATATCATGTTGTAAAACACTCATTGTTCACTGTCTTACTCGTGCCCTTCTTATATTTCGTTTCTTTCTAGTTTTCATTCACACCTTAGCTAGTTTTGGAGAAGCTAGGGTTTATAGAGGGTTTCCTCCTTCCTCTCTGTAACAATGGCGAAACCTGGGCGAGGTCGTCGCTCTCCCTCCGGTTCAGTCTCCGGCTCTTCCTCTCGCTCCTCATCTCCCTCCTCTTCTCGTTCCTCTGGCTCGCACACTCGCTCCCGCTCCCGCTCTCCCTCGCGCTCCAGATCTTTCTCATCCTCCTCCTCTCCCTCCCGCAGCTCCCGCAGCCGCAGCCCTCCGCCCCAGAGGCGCAGAAGGTAAGGTTGATTTCTTCCATCGGAGCGAGCGGCGAAAGAACTCAACATTCTTTAATTTGTGTCTGACGCATGCGCTGTTCTCTTAGCTGCTTACTGCTTATTAGATCTTAATTGTTATCTTTTATTCACCTGTGCTGTTGAATTTGTGTGCTGTGTGATTGAAAGATATGTGAAAATTGAGTTTAATGGAGTTTTGCGGTAATGTTTATTGTTCATTCTGTTTTCCATTTTTGGAAGAGGATTAATGATGAATGTTTTAAATTATGGTCGATGCGTGTATGTGTGTATAATTCTTTATTTTTGCGGGGTTGTGGACCTTTTGTTAAGGGTCTCTTAGGTTTTCTTTTTTTCTATTTGTGTTTTATGAGTTGCGCTGTGATATAGTGTTACTGTTTTAATTTTTTTTGTACTACAGTCCCGCTGAAGAAGCAGCAGCAGCAGCTAGGCGTGGTCGGTCTCCTCCACCTCAGTCAAAGAGAGCTTCACCTCCCCCAAGGTATTTTTATCTTACTTGTTATAGTTATTGGATGTATTGCCAGTTATTATTTCAACGTATAATTTGAAGGCTAGTGCAATAGTGAATATTGATGAAGT